GGTAATTTCTCTGAGTATGACAACTATCTTGAGAAAAGAGGATGAACACAGACTTTGGTACTAAAAGTACTCTACTAAACAACACACCTTGAGCCACTGTAGTTTCAATTTTCCAAGTAATCAATCAGTATCATGACCCAGAGAGGTGCCACATATTTTCAAAGACTGAAATATGAGGCATTCTAAAGAAAGATTATTACCCATTGTGCTCACTGAATAGTGAAAGCCATTAAAAATAATGCTTTAGCATACCTGACAATTCTTGTTTTACAAACGAGAGCACAGCCAGGTAAACTTGACAGTCAGCTATGATTATCTGCCTCTGAAGCCGATCAACCATAGTGGGGGTGGATTTTCGGACATCAACCTATTTGGTGGAAAGAAAGCACACCTGATTAAGCCACACACAAGTACAATACTCCTTCCATACATACAGCCATTAATTTGTTGTGCAAAATAATTTCACTAAAATATGGCAGTCACTGAAAGCCAAGACCAAACTGATACTACGAGCCTGGTAGTTCTATATTTCTAGTAGGTCTGGCTTTGCTTTGTTAACAATATAATGCTGAAGAGCGTTTTCACTAAAGACAAGTATTCTAAATGATAAACGCTGAGCTCATGGGAAACATGAAAGCCAACACAGAACTTCACAAAGTTTTACCTTTTCTAAAACAATGTAAGTTCTTAATTATCCAAAATAAAAATCATTAAAGGTATAAAACATTCCCCAAAGCAGATAACTTGAAAAGCCACTTTGTAGTCATCTACCTTCAGGTAGGACTGATGTTAGGGTTCATTCCTTTGGTGCATGCGACTGAGACGTGAGGGTTGGAAACTGATTACATTTTAGGTTGGGAGAAAATACCCTGGAATTAAAAATTAGCTTTGAATGAATCACAAGCTGAACTTGAAATTTAAGTCATAGCCTCTTAAGCTGACTACCTCTATAAAATACTAGTTTATAGCTCTCACTAAAGGTTACTAAAATGTAGGTTATTTAAGTATGTTAAGAAATTCGTGCTCAGGTCTTCAAAAACAAATAGAATAAGCAAAAAAACAAAAACCCCTATTTTTTAATAAGATGTTAGTCTTTATCGCAAAGAATGTTTTTAAATGAAGAAAAATCATTCTGAAGTAGAACACTGCATTCTTAATACAAAGTAAACAAAGTAAGTAAAATAGCTTTCATGTGCTTTTACAATGATATAAGAAATGAGAGGATTTTTGCAAATATGACACAACAAAATGACCAGTTTCTCTTTTTTCTAGATTAGCATAATTCATCATGGTCACAGTTGTTTATGATCTAGTCCCAGCACTCCTTACTTTGTTTGCTTAGGTAAAAGTCAATCTATTGATGCTTTGGTTTCTTTGCTTGTAATAACATCTACTCTGCAGGGTTGTTGGAAGGGCTAATAAGATACTGTATGTGACAATACTTTTTAAATTGCAAAGACACATTACAAATGTTAAATATTAACATATGTGCTAGGCATGGTACCAGATACTGAGGACAGATAGGTAAATAAGCTTGCAGTCTAATGAGGGAATGCTGATCTTATTACCATGTAATGTAGTAAGTGCTCTGAAGGATAAAGTGTAAGGACCTATGGGAACCCATAGGAGACACAACAAGGCTGGGGGCTGAGGCAAGAGTCCTTGGAGAAAATGACATCTACGATGAAGTAAAGAATGAGTATGAGCCAGGTCAAGAGGGAGGAGAATGTTCTACGCAGAGGAAAAGTAAGTGCCAAAGCAGTCACACTAAGGAGCTTGGACTTTACGGTAATGGCAATGGTGGGGGACAGGGGCACTGAAAATGAAGCCAGCAACATATTATTCGCATTTTAGTGGCTGTATTATGGAGAATGAATTAGAGGACAGTCAGAGTAGAGGAAGAAATGCCAGTGAGGGTTGTCTTATGCAATAAGAGTTGGTGGCTGACTTAGGAAAATGGCAGGAGGACGGGGAGAAGTAGATGAATTCAGGAGGTATTTAAGAAAGAGAGTCAACCGGACTTGCACATTGATTGGATGTAGGGTTTGGCGAGAGCGCAACCAAGAAAAACTCTGGCCTTTCTGGAGCATTAGGAGACAATGGTCTTGGCCCAGCAGTGGCTTTTTTATGGTGGACATCATAAACAAAAGCAGAGGTGAAGCAACCTGGACTGATATGAAGGAGTAGAAAAGACAGGTGGCTTTTTGACCATAACCAACAGACTGGTCTGTCAGCTAAGTAAGTGACATATGTGAGAACCCCGGGCACTCCAGAAATATCAGGGGTAGGAGGATACTTCTCCAAAGCCTAGAACTTTTGCATTGGAAGGTGAAAGAAAAATCAGCAAAAGTGGATTATGATGTTATTGTGACTTTATTTGTAACCAAAGGCTGGTGAGGCCTGGGCAAAGGTAGGTAAACAGCTGAATTCCTGAATTACGACAAAATGTACTGTATTTGAATTACATATATGAAAGCCTGATTCCAAAAACCCTTGCCACATGGCCCATTATGGAAGAAGATAATTTTAAGATACTAAAAGAACGTGCACTGAATGGCTCTAAAGACTGAAGGGGGGCTTCTCTTGTTTTAAGAAATACATTTTACATGATCAAAAGCCATAAGAAATGCTTGGTGCTTTCAGCCATATTCTAAATACCAAAAACCAAGGAAATGAACAATGTTTTAAATAAGTAGCACACAGTTCATTACCTAACGGTATAGTACTTACGTTCTTCTTAATTTTATTTTTGATTGTTTCAATTACTCCAGCCTCTTCACTTTCACACAGCTTTTCTGTAGTTTTTAAGTCGTCACATGCCAACTGCATTTTTTCTTCCTCAAATGTCATCATGGCATTCTTTCATGAAAGAAATAAGGAAGGAA